TTCATCCAACTGACATTGTTATAGTTTGGTCCGGATTTACGCTTCCGAGAACTTTGACGTTTTTACTCAAACTCCGAAATATTCCATCATGTTAGAGGATGGAATATGATATTCCATTCCATTATTACAAGAAATTCCCATTATCTCCCTTCCGTCGAGTACTTCAAATAAAAATCTTAACATTTTTTTTCACAAAAAATGCTTATAAAAACGTTTATTGATTTATAATTTCATTTTATTTTTATATATATAATATATTATAATATTTAATTTTATTTTTATTTTAATTATATGAACATTGATGAGATCATAAAAAATGATGAATATGTATATATATATAAAAAAATATATATACATAACTATTTTATATATATCAAATACAAATAATGAATTACAATATTTTATAATAATAATAAAAATACAAAAAATATTGATTTACAAGAAAAAAGATGAAAATCTTTATTTAAAATTAGAAACAACGTAACATACACACAAAAAAATTACAAATATACACACAGAGAGAAAAACTGGGTACTTATAATAATAATATTGAAGATATGTAACATGGTTTTGAAATGTATGGTATTTTTGTTTTATATATAAGTATATATAATAAAGAAAACTTAAATTTAAGCATAAATTTGCTATTATTGCTTATTTCAATTACAACTAAGGAAAAATACAAAAGCAAATTAAGCTAAAAAATATATAAATTTAAATTGGCAGCAAAATTACAAATAAAATGATGAGAGAATTAAAAAAAAAAACAAATACAAATTCATGAAAATGGCAGGGGTGGTGTCATTGATTTGTTTTCTTTTTTTCTTCTTCTTCCTAGCTCTGTGGGTGTTTTTTTCTATGTACAACTTAAAAATATGAAAATGTTTTGTTTGATGAAAAATGACTTTTTTGTTTAAATGTAAAATGAAAAACATTTTAGGCCCAAAAGCAATGTGTTTAACTTTAAATGTTTATTTAACAAAAAAATAATAATTATTACTCTAGTAACTGCAATTTTTGTTGTTAAACGCTTATGAATTTATTTTCCTAACAAGAAGCGATCGTCATCCGCTCCTTGGCGAAAATAAATCTAAGCATTACAAAACTTCAAAATCCGAGATCATTGTGAAAACTACCAAGCAAAAACTAATGAACTAAATTTCAAGTTTCTTATTTCGTTTTTCGGGGTTTATATTGAGTTTGTTTGTTGTTGTTTCTTTTTTAATTTAATTCGAATTCAGGAACTTTGTATTTGTGCTCTGAATGGCAACTTTAGTTTTTAGTTCATTATTTTTGAAATTTACAATTTTTTGTTTGTTTGTTGTTGTAATTAATTAATGTTTAAAATTAATGGAAATGTTTGAAATGAAGTAAAAAATATGTAATTAATTAATGTATGAATGATTTATATATGAATGTTTGTAAGAAAGAAGCAAATAATTGTACTATTTTGTGTGTGAATGAATGGAGAGAGCAGAGTGGTAGGGAAAAATCTCAGCAAGTTATTGAAAATATTATTAAAACTTTAAAATTTACTAAATGTAATTTTGTTTTTTATTTAACACAAGTTTCAATAACATTTCCAAGTTATGAATACAGTTTATACATAAAATTGAACTATTTACATAAAGAGAAAAAACTTTCAATATTACATTAAAAAAAATCAAACTTAAAAACTAAATAAAATTTACAAAAAAAGCAAGAAAAATTACAACTAAACAAAACTGTCTAATGACAAGAAATTGTGCAAAATATTGTTTAAAGAATATTTAAATTTATATTTATTTATTTTTTGTTTGTTTTTTATTTTTAAAATAACGCTTGGCGTATTTTTTTGTTTGTTTTCTTCGTTGCAAAACAAAACTAAATTTGTTCTTAAATATTTATTTAAAAAAAAATATATGACATGAGATCACTTTGTATTTGGGAATTGTTTTTTTTTTAATAAAAAATTATTTTTACAATTTTTTTTGTGTTTTTTAAATTATATTTTTGTGTTTTTGGAATTCAAGCAAATGTTTTAAATCCGGGTAAACAGAAATCTTAACAAAAAAAATTATAACACAACAACTTTTGTTTTCTAAAACAGGAAACTTAAATAAGAACATTAAAACAAATAAAAAAATATTGGCTATAAAGGCAAAAAAAATAAAACTTGTTGTAGAAAGTTAGACAGGGGCAATAGAAAAAAAACTTTGGTTTAGGAGATCGTTTTCTGTTTTTATTTTATGTATTTTTTTTTATTAATTTCCTCTATTTATTATTTTTTGGGAATTGTTGTAATTTTTAAATTAATTTTTTGTTTTATAAATGACTGCTAAACATTGAGATCATTATTATTGGCTATTTTTATTTTAATTTTTTTTATTATTTACAATTTAAAACATTTGCTTAAATTTAAAGGCATATTTTTTGTTTTTTGTTGGAGTGAAACATTAATTAATTATACAAAATATGAGACCAATTTGAAAACTTGTTTTAACGGATTTCAAAGGTTTTTTTTTGTATTTTCTTCTATAACTTAATTTTAAATTTTTTTTATACATATATATTTTTAACAAAACATATACAATTTCACTAACACAAAACGGTAAAATTGTTAAACTAAAATAAGAAATAAAAAAATCACAAGGAATATTATATACATTAACTAAGAGTTGGGTTTTTTTTCATAAAAATAAAATAAAATATTCAAATAAAATTAAAAAATTGTAATTTAAATTACCAAAGAAGACATGGATTGTTTTTTTGTTTTTGTGGTTTCATATTTCTTGTAGATAAGTATATGTTTTCTTAAGTATTTTTTTCATTTTTGTTGTTGTTGTTATAAGCTAAGAACATTTGTAAGCACCTTAAACCGAATGTAAACAATTGAAATACAAATAAAATAGTATATATTTTTTCTGGGCGAATTATTGTATACAAAAGTATTTGAAAAAAATTCCTTTTTTGACAAATGTGAATATTTTTATAAAACAAAAACCATTGAAATGCCTTCAAAATATTAAAAATTAAAATTCAATTTTTTAAATGAAAATGAATATTGAATTAATTTAAAAAAAATATTTTTTAACAATTTTTAAAATTTTACAATGGTTTTTTTAAAAAATTATAATTTTTTTTTTATATATAAAAAAAAAATTTAAAAATCAATGGAGGAATTTGAAAATTTTTTAAATGAAAATAAATTATTAAAAAAAAAATGTTTTTAAAGCAATTTTTACAATTTTACAATTGAATTTAATTTTTAAATTAAATTCTTATTTATTTTTGAAATATATAAAAAATATTAAAAATGAATTGAAATTAAATTTGTGTATTACTTGTTTAGCAAATTTTAGGAAAGTGAATTTAAAAATAAAACATTTTTGAATATATTAATTTTTTTTTTTGGCACATTTTTTTTACAAATTAGGATTTTAACATTTTAAATGTTTTTTTTTTTGTGATAAAAAAATAAATATTTTTGTCATATTAAATTTAACTAATTTTTTATATTCGAAAAGTTTACATATTTTTAAAAATATATAAATAAGGTTTTTTATTTAATTGTTGAGTTTTATTTTTTTTTTGTATTTTTATAAGAATTTATATGCTATAAATCAAAGAAAGTTAATTCAAATAGGAAAAAATTTAGAAACAAAATTAATTTAAACGAAAAAAATACTATAATCTCAAAGTTGTTTTTACAAAAAAATTATTTACAAAATTATATAATAAAAATATATAACTTGATTTTCTTGTATAGGAAAATTATAATATTTTATCAAATATTAACAAAAAATATTTGATTTCAAAATAAAATAATAGCAATGTTGAATTTTTATTTATAAAATTTAAATATTATAACAGTCCAGAATTGCAATTTTTTAATTCATTGAATTTAAGATTTATATTCGAGTCCGTCAAAATTTAAAATTAAAATTATTTCAAAATTAAACAATAAACATTTTGGTATTCATTTTTCCTTGCTATTTTCATAACCATTGAATATTTTTTTTTAATTTAAGAATATTTTTTTCAATACCTTTGTATACAAAAATTCATTGTATTTGTTGTAAAAATATAAAAAAGAATACTGTAGATAAAAAATGGTGGTATATAGCATATGAGTATATATAACTATAAGGTTTTAAGTATTAAGATAGGCATAGAAGAATATTTGTGTATTTTTTTAAGATTTCTTTGTAACAGCAAATAAAAATTGATTTTGTATTCAAGCTCCATTAAATATATATATGATACTATGTGTAAATATTTAGCCAAAAAATATATTTATTTTAGTTTTTTTTTATTAGCAAAAAATTGTTCCAAAAATTTTTATTACTCTTAAAAATATTTTTGTATTTTTTTAGATTTCTTTTGTATTTTTTATTTGTGTTATTTGTAAAGTTTGTATCAAAAAAGAAGTTGATTCCAAAAATCTCAGTTCTATATATATCTGTATGTAAAATGACATTTCATTTTTATCAAAAAATATTTATTTAATTGTCTTGTTTTGTTTGCTGCCAGTCTAAATTGTGTTTTGTTTTTTATTGTTTGTATAAAAAATGTGACTTTTTCTTTGAGAATTTGTTACTTTTTCTTGAAAAAAACTGTTATTCCCTATCCCAAATTTTTGATGGGCGGTTTTATTTATTTGTGTGTGTATATATATGTGGTGTATGTGTGTGTTTTTAGGTATATCCTCTGAGCGGTAGAGGATTTTATTTTTGTGTTTAAACTACCTCAATTTGTGCTTCGTTGCACCCCATCATTATACGGCTACCGGCAGCTTTCCGCCTCTATTTACGTATCTCCTCCACATGGTTTTATTTTGACTCACAAACAATGAACTAGACGAGTTGTTTTAACTTTTGTGTGGTTTTTGTTTCTGTTTGTTTATTTTTTGCTATGAAAAATAAATTCGTTGTTGTTGTTGCTGTGCATTTTTGTTGTTGTTTTTTTTGTTTGTATCTAGAGAAGAATTGTTCCCACTGTGTTGTTCTTTAGCTTGGCCCCTATTCATAGGCCAAAACTCATCGGGCCACAAGAAAACCACAACCCATGGCAAATACAAAGACCGTAACAACTGCGGGCCATGTAAAGCTTTGTTCCTGAAAAGAGAGGGGGAAAAGGATATTAGAAAATTAATAAAAAAAATTAAATAAATTTTATTAAAAATAAAATAAGTTTAAAATTTCGATATTATATATTCTAAATAATTTTTATTTATTTTCCGAAAAATTTTGTTAGGTTTTAAAATTAATCAGAATTTTTAAGCTAGTTTCTTCTTTGTCGTGTCGAACTTAAGGGGCCCCCCATTCTCGGGGTCAAATTTTTTGTTCATATAATTCTAATCTACACTAATTAATGAATGTCCCTACAAAATTTCAAGTGAAAATCTCAAGAACTCTTGAAGATATAGCCGATTTATTTGTCAGCATCAAGTGACGGCTGAAGGGCTTCTCAAACTTTAAACACGTTTTTCTCTAAACATTTTTTTGCTAGGATGAACTAGGATAAAGCCAATCGGTGAAGATCTTCCTTATTTTGTAACTTGGTTTTTGGTAAAAAATCGGCGATTTTCCACAAATAATGATTGAAGTTTGCAGCCAAGATTTTCGAAATATAAATATATGCATTTTTGTTAAGGATGTTTTTCCTATGGATTTTAATAAAATTTTTTAAATACAATTTTTTGTAATAAAATATTTTTTCTAATATCGGAATTATTTTTTCTGATACAAAACAAATATATGCCTTTTTTGTGAAAAATGAATTGTCCTCTCCAACAAAAAATCTACACTTGTTGTTAATGTCCTTTTCAGTATCTCATAATCCAATTGCCAGTGGACACTGAAACTGTTCAAGCGTTAACAAATCTGTTATTATTTGCTATTCATATTCAAACGCCTGACATAGAAGAGAGTGAGAAAAAAAATACCAATAAATTATCATAAATGTCAGGCTGGAAAAAATAGAACAAATTATTCACAACCAAAATGCAGTAACAAAAACAGAAAAATATTTCAATAATAGCATTAAACGTTTATCCTCCTCCCCCCTGCAATTCGATACAATTGACCAGCATATATTTTTGGTTATAAAGGACACAAGTGTTTTCTTTTTCATCACTGAGGGGAACAGGGCAGAAAAACTGTAACACAAAATTTATTAAATATAATTATTTGAGTATTGTTGCAAAAACACCCAGACACACAAAAACAACAAGTAAAGTGATTATTATTATGTTAGCAGTAGAATTTTTGCGCCCCTATTCCGCACACACAAATTTTGCAATGAAAAAGTCATGAAAATTATTTATGGCATTTTCATAACAAAAGCCAGAAGAAGTTGAGAACATTTTCATCCCTATAGCCTCTTTATGCTGTTTGGGGTCAGTGGTGGTGTGGTCAGTTCATTGTTATGAACTGTGAATGGTCAATGGTTAATAAACATAAGGATGTTGACCAAATGTTATTTGTTGTTTTTGCCACAAAAAGGACCTTTAATTGCAATGATGATGTGGCTGCTGGACTAAACTGGGTCACATCACCTTATCACTTTGGCGGGCTAAGGGGAGAGATTATGTTGATAAACTGCCTCTTTAAGTAAAAATGTTCAGAACTATGTGCGTGTTTATTATACTCTGGGGTGTAGTTTTGTTACCACAACTAAGACAAAGATTTTTCTTTGTTGGCAGTAAAATCGAGATTAGAACACGAAAAAGATTTAATTTAATATAATTATAGTTATTAAAGATTAGGATGGGGATATCTAGATAAGTAACAATTGCAAAATAAGGAATGGGGGATATCTAGAACATTACAGGCCTTCTTCCTAGGATGAAAATACACAAATAAATATTTTGAGATTTTGGTTCAAAATTTTGTTTATGCACATTATTTTACTTCCTTTTTTCATCCTTACAGGCTATCTTAGAAGTATAGGGTCGAAGGCAGCCAAATAAATATTTTGAGTTATTTTTTCAAAATGTTTCCTACGAAAATTGTTCTTACATGTTTTGCTTCTTACATGTATGAAATGGAGGACAGCTAAATAAATATTTTAGAATTTTTTTATTTATATCCATTTTATATTTTCAAAAGAATTTTTTTCCATAAGTTTTTCCCATGAAAATTATTTCACTTCCTTATTTTTCCTTTAATGACTTCCAAAGCAAATCTTTCGTTACATATCATTAGCATTTTTCCCAAAGTCATAAATTCTTCAATACTTGTTAATTTAAAAGAAAAGGAGAGCAAACAAAAAAAAAATCAACAGTAATTTTTTATTTTGTAACACTAAAGGTCATTAACTCATAAATGGCCATAAAACAAAATAAACAGCAGCCAGGCCAGCACACAATCGACAAATGTTACACATTTTCTTAAGCTTTTGTGTTACAAAATTTGATTTTTATATTTTACTCGCTTTGCCATGTGCAAGAGTTGAAAAAAAAATAAATAGCAATAAAATCAAGGAAATTTTCTACATCTGTTCGAATGTGCAGCAACAGCAATACCACCATGCTTACGTATTCAGATATTATTTAGTAATCCATTACCACATTAAAGGGAGATATCGCGCTGATGGCTTTGAAACATGAAGTTCAAGTTACAATCAAGAACAAAAGCCTACAATTTTGTGATGATCAAATTAAAATTTTGGGATGAAATGGCAACAACATAATTTTTTGTGTGTTTTAGTAGAGTATAATCCGAAAATCACAACACACCCACCGTGAAGGTAATCTGGACAAGTAATTAGAAGGACTGTACAAGAGGGGGCTGTACAAGAGGGGGAAATAAAAATATTTCGAATACAAAACATCCTCAGAAAGTTAGAGTTCGTGGTAGTTGTGAGAGAAAACAAATCATTGCCGTCAAGTCATAGAGCAATAACACGCTCACACTGGTTTATTTTTATTTTGGATTCATTTTATATATTTTCAAAAGAACTTTTTTTCCATTAGTTTTTCCCATGAAATTTATTTCACTTCCTTATTTTTCCTTTAATGACTTCCAAAGCAAATCTTTCGTTACATATCATTAGCATTTTTCTCAAAGTCATAAATTCTTCAATACTTGTTAATTTAAAAGAAAAGGAGAGCAAACAAATATAATGATACGAAAAGTTTGAAAAAAAATCAACATAATTTTTTTATTTTGTAACACTAAAGGTCATTAACTCATAAATGGCCATAAAACAAAATAAACAGCAGCCAGCACACAATCGACAAATGTTACACATTTTCTTAAGCTTTTTTTCTGACGCGATTTTTCTACTTTTACTCGCTTTGCCATGTGCAAGAAAGAAAAAAAAATAAATAGCAATAAAATCAAGGAAATTTTCTACATCTGTTCGCAGCAACAGCAGCACCACCATCATCCATATCTCAGCTGCACGTGCTGTTGTATGCAACATGAATTGTCGGCATCGGCTGCAACAAATCATTTACAATCAAACCAAAAGAAATAAATGTGAACTGCAGCTAGCTAAGGAAGACAACAACAACCAGCTAGCCAGCAATACCCGGTGATGCATAAAGAAATATATAGAGTCAGTCACAGCGGCCAGAGAAATAAAACTCATTCGAATACAAAAAAAACGAAAAAATGAAATAAACGTATTGAGAGAAAACAAATCATTGCCGTCAAGTCATGGAGCAATAACACGCTTCACACAAGTGACAAATTGCAGTTCACACTTGAAAAAAAAACACCACTTAAAAATTAAACGACTAACGAGTAATGTATGCAAATATGAGGGACATATAATAATTATGGGAAGATAATTAAGAATTCATAAATTAAAAAAAATAATATTTTAAGCCTACAATAAGGCGTGGATTTTTTATGTCTCCAATAAGGCGTGAATTTTTTAAAAATAATTTTTTATGTCTCCAATTAGGCGTGAATTTTTTAAAAATAATTTTTTAAGTCTCCAATAAGGCGTGGATATTTTAAAAATAATTTTTTAAGTCTCCAATAGGCGTGGATTTTTTAAAGGACATTTTTGAAGCCTACAATAAGGCGTGGGTTTTTTTAAAAGAAATTTTTGAAGTCTCCAATAAGGCGTGGATTTTTTAAAGAAAATTTTTAAGTCTCCAATAAGGCGTGGATTTTTAAAAATTTTTTTTAAGTCTCCAATAGGGCGTGGATTTTTTAAGAAGACATTTTTTAAGTCTCCAATAAGGCGTGGATTTCTTTTTTAAATATTTTTTTTAAGTCTCCAATAAGGCGTGGATTTTTTTTAAAATATTTTTTTTAAGTCTCCAATAAGGCGTGGATTTTTTAAGTCTCCAATAAGGCGTGGATTTTTTAAAAAGAAATTTTTTAAGTCTCCAATAAGGCGTGGATTTTTTAAAAAGAAATTTTTTAAGTCTCCAAAAAGGCGTGGATTTCTAAAAAGAAATTTTTTAAGTCTCCAATAAGGCGTGGATTTTTTAAAAAGAAATTTTTTAAGTCTCCAATAAGGCGTGGATTTTTTAAAAAGAAATTTTTTAAGTCTCCAATAAGCCGTGGATTTTTTAAATAGAATTTTTTTAAGTCTCCATTAAGGCGTGGATTTTTTAAAAATAGTTTTTAAGTCTCCAACAAGCCGTGGATATTTAAAAAGAAATTTTTTAAGTCTCCAATAAGGCGTGAATTTTTTAAAAGGATATTTTTTAAGTCTCCAATAAGGCGTGGATTTTTTAAAAAGAATTTTTTTTTAATTTTCCAATATGGCATGCATTTTTTAATACGATGAGATTTTTTTCATCTCCCTCATGTCTGAAATTTAAACCTTAAAATCTCCATTCTCTACAAAACTTAACGAACCTTAAAAAAATTATATTATTTTTTAAATTTACCCCTTTTTGCTAATTAAAACATAACATGGTGCCATCAGTTTTAATTGTTCATCTCTTCACCTAATCAAAGTTTTTATGGCAATTTTGAACTTTGGCGGAACATTGTTGCTCCACCAAGCCTTTGTTCGTTTTCGGTTGTTGATGTTGTTCTGGAGCCCTTATTTCCATGTAGCTCCTTCATTGTTAATTAATATAATCGCGACATTAATGAACATTTTCATTATAACATTTTCCAACAAAAAAATTACGTTGTAAATAATTGTTAATGGTCGTTGTTTTCAAAATAACAACAACCTTTAGTTGATTTTATTTTTTCTGTTCGAATGTTTTTTGTTAAACTACATTCGAACGAGAGTCTTCTTTAAACCGACAATAGTTAATCCTTTGTTTGATTTCCTTTAGCAAAGCTCAAGCTGGAACTGCAACAGGGCACAGCACGAGTTGTACAAAAAAGAAAGAAAAAACGAAACGAAAACTTAACTATGAGAAAACAACAGCAACAATAAAAATGAACGAACTGACAATCTAAAATAAAAAATAAAACGAAGAAAGAACTTTACAAAAATTCTGGGCTTTTTATGGCTTTGAGTTGAAAGTGACACATGTGTGTGCACTGTGTGTAAATTGTTGTAATGGGGAGCACTGTGAATATGTAGAAAAAATCAAATCAAAATAAAGAAACTAAACCAACAAACGGACTAGTACTACACAGCAAACTTAACGAAGCGTTGCAAGCGTTGAAGTACATGGCAGGGCGCGGTTTAAACAAAATACAAGCAGCCAGCAGAGACACTGCACAATCACTGGTCGTCTATGAAATCTTTTGTATATTACAACAACAACAACATTGCATCGACGACTACAACAAGAATAGTAACAGCTATGAATTGAAGGAGTAGCTCCAACAGCCGTAGTATTCGAATATTCAAATGCATAAATGTTGTTGTTGTATGGTAAAAAGTTTTTAATTTTATTATCCTACCACTACAACAACAACAACGTTACACTGCTAGCTGGGTTGCTGCGCAATTAATTTTTATCGCAAATTTGCATTTTATTTATAGGTTTTAGGTTGATTTTTTGTTGTTTTAGTTTTTTCTTCTGATTTTTTGAGAGACGATCTAGCCATGAAATACTTTAATTGTCGAGCCAAAGAGAGAGGCCATCCGTTTCTCAAAAAATGGCATGGAAAAAAATAATCAAAAATGCATTGTTAAGTTCTACATGGGTTTAATTTGATTCTAGATATTGAAAATTATTTAAGCAGAGAATGTGTGAAATTCATTGCTCACACGTGGGGTCAAGAAATTCAAACAAGGACAGTGAAAGGGGAAAAGATTACGATATGACAATCAGGAGTTATTTCTGGGCTTAAAATAATTTTTTTCAATTAATTTTTTAAGCCTACAATTAGGCGTCGATTTTTTTAAATAAATTTTAAGCCTACAACAACAATTTTTAAGCATGCAATTAGGCGTGGATTAAAAAAGCAAATTTTTAAGCCTACAATTAGGCGTTGATTTTTTTAAACGAAAAAGTTTGAGCCTAAATTTAGTCGTGGATTTTTTAAAAGAACATTTTTAAGCCTACAATAAGGCGTGGATTTTTTTTAAATAAATTTTTTAAGCCTACAATTAGGCGTGGATTTTTTAAAAGAAATTTTTTAAGTCTACAATTAGGCGTGGATTTTTTTAAAATAAATTTTTTAATTCTACAATTAGGCGTGGGTTTTTTAAAAGAAATTTTTTAAGCCTACAATTAGGCGTGGATTTTTTAAAAGAAATTTTTTGAGCCTATAATTAGGCGTGGATTTTTTAAAAGAATATTTTTTAGCTTACAATTAGGCGTGGATTTTTTAAAAGAATATTGTTTAGCCTGCAATTAGGCGTAGATTTTTTTAAAATAATATTTTTAGCCTACAATTAGGCGTGGATTTTTTAAAAGAAAATTTTTGAGCCTATGACATAATAATGCATATTTTTAGATTGCAAAACAGTATTAATTTTTAAATGGAATCTGAGCCGAAATATTGCATATTTTCAGGCTGAATCCTTACGTTGAAAATCTATGACTGATTTTTGTTTTAATTGAAATTTGTTTCCCTTATAAACTCACCTTCTTTTCCGGTTTCGGTTTTGGCACATCCTTTTTCTTCTTACGTGGCGGTATTCGGCCATTGAATTCCTGTAATCGTTCACGGCCAGCCGTAAAATTATCATAACGATCATCGAATTCATCCCAACTCGTTTCATGTTCACTTTGATATTCACGTTCATCTTCGCCCGTTGAGGTCAAACGTGATCTATATATAATTATAAAGGCGTGGGAAGGAAATGGAAAAGAAGAAAAGAAAAAATTACAAATGTTAAAAATAATTAATTAAAAATAAACAACAATGATTAATTGGTTGCAAATGCAAATCATAACAATACGCCAATCAAGCTTAAATAAAACGATTGACAAGAAATGAAGGAATTACAAAAATAAAAAAAAACTTGCAACTGGAATAATGACAGACTTAAAACAGCCTTATCTTGCGGATTATAGACAAATGGAAAAATAACAACAACAACAGCAACAAGGCAGACTCTGAGTGTGTCATCCACATGTGGTGATGGTCGTGGTGGCCCATTGTGGCTTACTGGCCGTTTTGTGGTAATTAAAAGTCTGCTTTGCCATTTCATGGGAGAATTAAAAATTTTACTATTAAAAAAATTTTTTGTATAACAAGGAGGCCAATGGACTTTGGTCAAAGACTCTATGGAGTATGGGAAAATATTATTATTTGATGTAAGCTACTTAAGAAAGGGTGTCAATTGTCTGGAAAATTTATTAGATGCTGTGATGGGAAAACAAAATTGTCTATAATTAAAATTCAAAAGGCCTATCAAAAATATGGGGAGTAATTGTCTGTCTATATAAAATACCTACCGTCTGGCTGTATCCGAAAGACTTCGATGTAAACTTCGGTGAGCACCACTGGGTCCTGAACTAACTGACAAACCGGCCGCCGCTGTTGACGTCGTGGCATTAGCTGTGGTGGGTGTGGGCGGTGGCGTATATTGAACATAACCCGGTCCATATTGATGATAGCCAAAATGTGGATAATGAGGATAATGCGGATGATGCGGTGGCAGATATTGATGACTACTACTTTGTGGCACAGGCGGTGCTGACTGTGGTGCCTGTGATGTTTGGGCCGAACTTGAACATGTCGGTGCTGACTGATGGAAAAAATTCACTTCATCGCCGGCAGCAAAGCTAACACTTGTGCGGGGTGTACGTGGGGTGCTGCGGCTGCGTGGAAAGAAAACATCACCGCCCGTGTAATTCGGACTGTGTACAGAGCAGGAGGGACTGGGTGGTGTGGGATATTGGAAAACGGGAGCACCTGAAATTGACAAAAAAAAGTAAAGAAAAATAAATTAAACTAAAAAATACACAAATTAAAGTCTATTTTTAATATTCAGAAATAAATCATTTCGAAATGACAACTTTTCTTTAAATTCCCATTAATTTCAATTAATCTCCACTGCCATAAATAAAATGTAATGCCGATAAAAAAATTACACAGCTACAACACAAAGTCATTAGCAAGCAAAATTTAATCAATTGTGAATAGTTGACAATCTACTTTACATATTTAATAAAAACAATTTACAAATTGCTGTTGTTGTTGTTGATTTTTTGCTATAGAAAGATTCTTTTTATCCCTTGTATAAAATGCATATAATTATGGCGCCTGTCAAAACGCCTACGATCTCAACTCATGCCTCTGGCCGTTTTACAGTTGATATGAAATGAATATTGTCTCGATTTGAGTTGCGTTCTGTAGAATGCTTGCTTGCGGGCTAAATTAAGTGATATTCGATTTTGTTTATTATTCATATTTAACAATAAAGAATGTATGCAATAAAAAAACTCTTAATTATTTTAAATATTAATGTTTTTCTGTATTCATTCTAAAAACATAAGAAACTGGACATTTCAGCAGATATTAACCCATAAGTGAGTGGAGGGGTATTTGAGGAAAAAAATATTTTGAGACAAATTAATATTTTTTCATAATTTGTCGACCTGACCGGAAAATTTAAGAGTGACGGGAAAATAGAAAACACATTTTTGAAGGCATAGAAAGTATTTCTGGTCTGCATTGTATATGACTAAAATACGGAGGGTATACAATTCCAATTACAAAACCTCAATGGCTCTTTACCGAGAGAAGATCTCTAAAATATATCCGAATGATAACCCTAGACCCCAGCTTTTCGAGCATGGGATATATCTTAAAAGTTAAATTCTCAAGTCTAGAGGTATTTGAAAAATCCGCCATAATTTTTTAATACTAATTCCGAACTTTAGTATTTTGAAGGACCGCCAGATCCGTTTGTGTGAATGTTTACAAAGCACTTTTTTAAGAGCTCGGAATCCCACGATTTCAAAAATTTCGGAAGCAGGACGTTTGACACATCAATTAGTTGGATTTTAAATACTTTTTGAACTGAAGCCCCCAGCTTCTAAGTTTGTAAGGAACCCTCAAAGATGCATAAACATAATTCAGGAGTCCTTATAAAATCCCAGTTTTCCTTATGAAATTCCAGTTTCCGAAAACCAAAACGACCATTTCCTTTCCCACTTTCTAGTTGGATTGCTTGAGACCTCCTGGTGTCACAATGGGTTCAATTAAATTTCCTTTGGTCTAAAGCCCCAAGTCTTGGAATGGTGTTAGTAGTGTTTTAAGCACTGGAAGTTAATTGTCATCAACAACGTCGTCATTTGTCGTCGTCACTGTCGTATATTTTGCGAATCGGTAATGTTGTTGTATATATTTTTTTTATTTAGACACATTGACCCTGAAACTACACCTGATTGTTGTTGATTTTATTACTCTTTATTATTGTTGGTGGCAAATAAATTGCAGCTATTGTAAACGGGCAACAACCACAAAAACAAAACTGGTTGTTCGGTTCGGCTTGATGTTTAGAGTTGTTGGTATTTTATTATGATAAATTATGCACATCACTTGGTATGGTTGGTACGCTCGAGTTGCCCGTATCTGTAACTGCCGGCCTGGCAAGAAGGTGTAATGTGAACAACAGATGGAAAGACAAGCCGAGAGACAGACAGACATACATTCATACAAACAGACTGACAACCAGAAAATTTGCATAAAATTGCAGACAATTTAAGATTAACGATAATGCATTTAATTTATTTAAAATACAATTGCATTCAGTGCGAATTGATGATGAACAGCGCATCCATGAAAATGCATATCTTGCGGCTTGATATCATTAACACACATTTTCTGTGTGTGTGTGTGCCTTAGACTTAGAGTAATCAATCTTTTTGTAAAAGAATTAAATACAAGGCATTTGATTTGTTAGTAAAATAAAATTAAAGAAAAACGATCTAAAATAATGTCTAGACATTTAGCTGAAAAATAAGATAAGAATTTGCCACAGTAGTAAATTCTGGTAACCAGAAAAACAACAGAAAAATGCTTTTATTACTTTGAGCCATCATAAAATTGCCAGAATAGTCACAGCAATCCGTTTAAATGATTTGATTTGCACTGCTGGGAACAGCAACAACGACAATAATAAATATTATGCAAAATTGTTTATGACACCGAAAAAAGAACCTGCATGTCCTCCATTTTATGGCTGCCTCCTTTAAATGGTGTTTTGTCATATCACACTCTGGTTGGTCCCAAGCAAATATATAAAAAGGTAAAAAAAAATATATTTTTACGATCTTACAACCGGTACAGTGCACGAATGCAAAAGGTTATAAAACTAGCAATGACAGTTGAATAACACCAAGAACAAAAAAACAAGTCGTTAAAACTCATTTCAAACATAAAAGGAATTATTTTTTTTTTGTCGAACAAAAAATTAAACAAATCAAAACTTTAATTTTAAGTGGCAATTAAAAAATTAAATTTAAATAAAATGCAAGTTTACCTCGAAAGAATGTTGACTTTTGGGGAGATATTAATAATATTTCGTTTATCAATGCATACTTTTAGGAGTGTAGGAACATTTTTTATAAATAAATATATTTATTATAGATAAATAATAGTAAATAAAAAATAATATGCCAGCTGTTAAAAGCTCTAATGAAAGAATTGAGACAGAATGGCATAATTAAATATTATTGCATATTTTTAGGAGTTAGTGTTTGTATTACTTATTCACAAATATGGCATACTTTTAGGAGTTATATCAAATTGCTTCTATTGTGTATTGCTATATTATAATGCTATTTTGTTTTTTTATTTTTTAATTCAATTTTCAATTTTTATTTATTTTTTAATTTATTTAACGCTTGACTTAAAAAACCACTTGACCTTCTTGTGAATTCTACTTCATTCTCTCGTAATACCATTAATAAGCAATTTTTGATATTTAGCACAATTCTTGGCCACAATAGTTTTAATCGAATTCAAAACGAAAATATTTGATTTTGTAATTCACAAATCAATAAGTGGTATTTTTCAAGGCTTATTCTTGGCAATTCTCGAGAGAGATCTGTTTAAATAGAAACAAAATTGAAATCAATCAACAATGGACTACGACAATCGAATGTACAACAATTTGTGTCATAGGTTTAAATTTATATTAACTTCCAAAAGACATTTGCTGTAGATAATTGATGATTACAAATTCAGGCAAACAACTAACAATAACTAAGCCATGATTGATTATTGTCAGCTGCAAAAAAAAAACGCGAAAAAATACAACAATAACAAACTCAATGGAAAACTTCAAACGTTAATCCATTGAATATATGCCAGACATTTGACCAACTATTAACAGACATTGTGACGCTGATGCCAAGTTTTGAGTCTGGCATGTTACTGTGAGTTTTTTTTGTCAGAAAAAAAACTCAAAATTGCACGTGTATCATGTTTTAGTTGTAATTTTGTTTCGTTCAGTTTTCATCATGTTTTTTCACCATTTGTCAAATTGTCATAAATTTTAACACCATAAATTTTGTAATTAAATTATCGTCAGCAATTAGCATCACACATCACAGCTAGTAGGAGGGTTTGGTCTTTTTTTTATTGCAAAAAACTTTGTTTTCATCACTTAACGAAATATGTAGAATTTAGAATACTCGTACAGACCTGTTGGCTCTTTAGCATATAATTATAATACATTAATAAAAAAAAGCGAGACAACATATGCAAATCTATAATTTGTTAATAATAATAATTGTAAAAAATCTCAAATGTGTTTAGTTTACAAAATTTTCTAGAATTTTTTCAACAAATAACGTATGTGCTTATAGTAAAGATAGGAAATTGTCGATGATGGTGTAATAATTATAAGTTGTTATTGCATTTTTATTTATGATAAATAATGTTGTACACATTTTTTAATTAAACATTCTAAACACTTTTTTTCTATTTCAGCAGTACAGCCATAAAGTATGCAACATATTTGCCAACCCCGATGTATGCAATATATTTGATAAAAAAAAACTCTTAACGAGGAAGGCGGTCTCCTGACATCCTAAAGGTAGGCTACATTTTTTATTAATTGTGATGTTAGTAAAATTGTACATCCTTAAGGTATGCAATATATTTTTAGTCAAATATTATTATATTTATATAATAATTATGAAATAATATATATTAAGAAAATATCTGTGGGAAAATATCTTAAGGGAAAACATGTAGAATAATGCAGTGTATTATTAGGGGTTTGTCGAATGATAATCCTTAATTATTATATAAGGACAATCCGAAATTTTATATCAGTTACAAAATATATTTTTTGATTAACCCTTTCAGTGTTTTTGTCGAATATATTCCACATTTAAAATTACTCTCTTCCTTTGCAAATTTTCGGTTATCCTGTGTACCGTTACAATTGATTTCTTTGTTTTTGCTGAAAGACAGACAAAACTGTCCGAGGGTTAAAATAAGAATTGCTTTTTTTTCTAAATTTTGTGTCTTCATACGATTTTAAGTACAAAATTTTAGATTTTTATTCCGACAAAAAAATTTTTTGACACTGAAAGGGTTAAAACAAGCTAGATTTTTCTTTCCTAAGAAACTATAACCTAAAGAAATGAAATATTACATCCTTAAAGTATGCAATATTAAATATTAAGTATAAATGAATTAATAATAGCCTTTCAATATTTTCTACCATCAGTTACAAGAATTAATAAAATAGGAGAAAAAAGAAACATGTTCTAAAATCTTCAGTACAATAGAACCAAAATATTAGAGCCTTAAAGTAGGCAATGCTTTTTAATAGTAAATACCTCTTTGAGAAAACATATCAGCTGATTGTCGGTCACTGGGATCGAATTAGTTTCATCACTTCTCAATATTTACTATCAAAATATTTAGATTTTTCGAATGTCTGTTTATCT